TAGATCGAATCAGATCTGCGACTCTGCAATTCTTCAAATTTGGGAATGTACTCCTCGTGCAAATCGGAGATCCGATTATAATATGAGAGAAGCTTCTCCAAATAAGATTCATCTTCCAATTCCATCACCTGCCACAAATCGGAATTACGAATATCACGAGACATAGCCTCAATTGATCACCGACGAAAGAAAGGAGAGAGAAAAGCCGATTTCCGAAGAACATTGAGATTTCATTGATGTGTATGTTTTTTGCAGAGATGAAAGGAGAGAGACAAGCTTTTTGGTTATTTTTAATATATTGCGTTATATATATGTTTTCGAATGAGATTATAATAAAAGTTACGTCGTCTATGTGGTTATGTACTTCATTAAATAGGCGAAAGGTCGGGGGTTCGAACCCGAAAGTTGTTATATTTTGTCTCAAATTTTTGTTTTTACAAAATTAAACGAAACGACGTCGTTTTGTACGAATGACGTGGCCATCTCAGTTGCAAACACGGCATCCTAGTCAGCAATATTTAACGGAACAGTAATACCGTTTGTCGATTTGATGGTTTTGACCGGATTTACATTGTCCGTATAGGAAATTCAAAATTTAGTTTATTTCATGTAGTTATAGGCACGCTTCAAAGTTCTGTGTATAAATCCGATAAAGCAACTAAGTTCGTGGGGGAATCGGCCGTTTTCCCGGTGAAAGTCCATAGATTAGGGATATGAACGTCCATAGATTAGGATATAAAAACAACACATGCACTGCACTTCCTATTGTTTCATCAGGGTTATGCTGAGGAGGAATTGGAGTATGAAAATAGTACTTTAACATTCTAAATTTTTCTAAGGGATCACGTAAGTCTGTTGCTACAAGATTTTACAAGCAAGACATGTAATTATATTATTCTTTCTTCTAGGTTTTAGAATTTGTATTTCATACAGAAATATTTAACTGGTTCTTCTGATTGTAGAATGGAGTTCTTCTTTTTGGCGGAAACAAATTAGGTATCGTAACTATGATGCAAAATTTTATTTCAATCATCACCGTCCGCATCTATCTCTCCGTCAACTCCTCGTCTATCTCCTTCCATCGTTTTCATCAAATCATAAGAATCAAGATTTCAAAAAAAAAAAAGAAAAAAAGAAAAAAAAAAAAAAAGAATCTTTTTATTGTGTGTGTTGGGCTATTTAGCCAATTAGGCTTTAAAGGCCCTGTAACACTTTCAATAGAAAATCAGTTACCCCAAAAAATAATTTGAGTTAAAAAGGAAAAGTGAAAAAAATACCAGTGCGAAAATTGTTTACTGTTTCCTTCCAAAACTGTCGGCTTTTAAAGGGCCAATTAATGGGCCAGATCAGCCCAAACCAGTAGGGTTGCCTAATGCTGGCCCATTTGAATCAATACCTTTCCAGGGACTTTCTTCAATATGGACTATTTATTTTTGTTTTTCTCAGTTCATAACATAAATGTTTTGCTTCGAAACAGAGAAGACAACAAATTACATCTAGAGAGGCCAGTACTTCGTTGCCGATCAATCTATTTATTCTCTTTCTCAAATTGAAAAAATTTCGGTTGCTCGTGTAGTACGATTTTCGGATGATTTTGGCCGAAACTGGCAAAAGAAAGTATGTCATCGTGTTTTTGTGTTAAGGAAAGAAAATAGGACATCTATTTACCAATAACAGAGATACAAACATATCGAAGTGGTAAACTTTAGACTTCAGTTTGATAACATGTGGTTCATATTGTTCATCAGTTTAAACAAGTTTTATGAAGTTATTGTTAAAAGTGAATTTGTAAAAAATTTGTTCTTTCGTTTTCTTTGGGGATTATTGCCTACAATGCCATTTTTTTGAAAAACTTACGAAAATGCCTTTTTTTTTAATAGTTTACGGATTTTGCCTTTTTTTAACACTTAAAAATGTACGTATTTATGATTTTTTTTTGCAAAAATACGTACTTTATACCAAATACTAAACCCTAAGAACAAATGGAACCGACTAAACCCAAACATAACGAGTGAAACGCATGTTAAATCATATTTTTGGAGCCTGAAAAATGGCAAATCCACAAACTATTCAAAAAAGAGCAAAATCCACAAATGCCATTATAAAAAATGGCAAAATCCGTAATTAATTCTTTCTTTGGAAGTAACCAAAACATAACAAAATTGCAATCAATATAAATAAATAAAACGAAATCTATTTTAGTTGAAATTATTAAAATGGTTTTTGGGTTTGGTTTGATTTGTTTTGGAATTTGTTGAGTTTTTTTTATTTTGCATATACTCTATCTAGTTTTAATTTATAAATGTTAGTAGTATTTTAAAAAAGAAAATCGTAATGTCAAGTTAGAAGTACGTACAAATTAATAGTGATACAAAGAATACACAGTCTAGTATATATATACAAGAATAACCAATCCAACAGAATTGGAAAATTTAGATAAACATTGTCTTTCTTAAATAAATTGGTTGACCTAACTATAGTTTATTATTGATTTTCTTAATTTATATTCTCTAATTTATTTGTTTATTTAAAGACATGCATATACGCGTGTACATGTAACAATTAAGAGATGTTATTGGCTATTTGATCCAATCACTTTCACTTCATGCCAGCTAGGTGGTTCCAAATTCGAAGTAAGAATTCCATACGTGGATGTGTGTGTGCTCACTGATTTTCTTACGTATACAGTATACTCCCTCAGTTTCTAAAAATTGATTTTCTAAAAATTTCACGTATTTTAAGAAACAATCATATTTAATTATTTATTTTTATTAAACATTTTTAATAACCTATGAACCAATAGTTATCTTAAACAGTTAATCATTACGTTTTGAAATCTACGAAAATAAACTAAAAATAAAGAAAAAATCTAAAAAATCAATCTTTGTAGAACAAACCAAAACAATAGAACATCAAACTTTTAGGAACAGATGAAGTGCTGTATACGGTATACGATCATTGATTTATTTTTTATTTTGCGTCGCATAAGTAAGTACTCCCTCCATTCTTTTATAAATAATGGTTTAGGAGAATGGACATATATTAAGAAATCATTTAAATTTTATTTATTCTAAACTAAAACATCATTTATTATCTATTCAACCAATGAAAAAATAATCTACAGAATCTAAATCGTCAAAACCAATAAAAAAAGTAATTAATTTTGTATTAAAAATTGAAAACATCATCTATTTAAAAACAAAATTAAAAACTTAAAACATCACTTATAAAAGAACCGATGAAATATATGTTATCAGTTTAATTAGTAATAATGATTACCAAATTTTTTTATGGTATATGATAAAAAAAAAAACTTAATAGTCAAAATGTGATAACGAAGATTCAATGATTTTTAATATGTTTACAGGGACCTAGCGATGTTGTGATGAGTTAAACAGACTTTTCCATATTAAATTTGTTTTGTTTTTTTAGTTTTTTTTTTAATAAATAAATTTGGTTTTGGTTTTAGTGTTTCAGTGCAATTCTGATTAGATAAATGCTCTGATCGTGGCAACTAAATGCTGATTTAAAACGACGAGCTTGACGAATTCCCGTCCAACTTGCAACGGGTTTAACCCTATATGGATCAAACCGATCATGATCTTTTTAATAAAATTATGAACCAGTTACCAGTCGAAATTATACAAAACTTCAGCTTTTTAAAACTTTCGGTTTTGGTCTACCATAATATCCCTATTAAACTTTCTGTTTTCTTTTTGAATAAATCTGTTTAGCTATTACATAATTCACAAAACTAATTCTCAAGTTCTACGTTTAAAAATCTTGCTATCATAAAAAAATAATAGCGGATAAAAATTTGAGGAAAAGTTAGAATCTATCAAAACTACTATAACGTGAAGAAAATAACTCACATAAATTAACGATATCATTGAATTTACTTTTTCAGTCAAATTCCATGATATATCTTAAATTATTTACATAAAGTAAGAAATATGCAATATATTGTTCTTATAGATCCATAAGACTAAGAAAGCTACAACCATTCATATTATAAAAAATCGAATGTAAATGAGATTTGGGAAGTATTTTAGTCATACTTAAGAATAAAGCTTCTATAGCATTGCACTAGAAGTCTATAAAGATAATTAACTTTAGCTCTAGAAAGGAAGCCTCTAAGCTCTTTTTCACGCCCTTTTCGGGCATAGCCACCAAGGAGATGTCACTGTTTTTTTCTTTTTCAGTTGCTTTTATTTTTTATTTGTTGTTGCTAAGAATGTTAATATCATTATAAATGAAAAAGTTTGGCTGATACAATGAAAAGCTTTTGGCGGAAAAACGGTCTATTTCCCCACGAGAAGTATCGCATCATAACAGATAGAGCCCATTCTTTGACCTCGGTCCATATCTCCATGAAATCAAAGTTGTATTCCTATTTCTCCCCGAATCGAAAGTTCTATAGCATAATGTCCCCGAATCTGGGTTATATCGGTTTGTGCTTTAAACCCAAAGTAAAACCGTAATACCAAACCACTAAATATTTGATACTCAACTGAATTTAAACATAACCCAGACGTAAATACACCGATATAATACTACTAACTATACACCGGATACATACAAACAACAAAAACAATCTTGCAACATTTGATATCCAAATTACAAAAGCTCATAAGGAGAACATCATTGTAATTAACCAATAATCCAATATCGATGGTACTAAACTTACAACAACCTCTCCCTATAGGCAGCAAATCCTATCAGATAAATCGCCGGACTACGTAATCGACAACGATTGCAATACTACACATAAAGCTACGCCGACGAACCTCCATAAAGTCCTAGTGTCCATGTTCTAAGCTTCTAGCCTATAGAATTCCAAGCCTCTAAAAGTTCACCAATATACTTCACATCACAATCTTCACAAATTCAAGAACCAGCACAACTAGATTCGGTAAAACTGAGAAAACCTCGATTAGCATCTCCGCCGTGACAGCACAATCTCCAGCTTCTTCACTCGTTTTCTTCTTCAACAATGTTGACATTCTCACATCCACTCATCTCTAACCATCAAGGTTAGATCTCTCCCTTTTCTCTCTTTATATTTCTTGTTCTTGTTTTGTTTCTCTTCACATACATAAACGATTTGATCTTTAAGAAAAAAGAGAGATTTTCTTTAATGGTCTACATTTTACTAAACTTGGATACTCTTCTTACAAAACACACACACATACATATAGTGGAGTGGTTTTTCTCCACTAGACCATACTTTAAGACTTATGACAACCACTCTATTATGTTGGAATTCCAACTCCTTAATTCACTCTTACACGACACCTTAGACTAATACAACATAACACTTTCCTTTGTTGACTTTACTTTTTCCATTTTGTTGTTTTGTTTAACAACTTCTTCTTCTTCCTTCGATGCTTCTTCCTCTGTTCTTCATCTTCTTTTTCTCATGGATTCTTCTTTTCTCTTTTGTAGGTTCAATCAAGGATACAATTCCAACAAACAACCTCCGGATCTCCGACGGCGTCTTCTTCCCACACAAACGACGGCGGTCTCAACAAACGTAAGATTATCTCAAACAAGATCAGATCGTTGGAGAAACTTATGCCATGGGAAAGAAAAATGAGTTTAGCAATGATTCTAAAAGAATCGAATTTGATTACAGGTCGAGATGGTGTTGATGGGATATGCTCTCATTTTTTTAATTTGATTGAATGTGGTCTTGATTGTTTTAAAAAGTAGTGAATTTGCTTTACATTTTGATTTGAATCATCAAGATCCACCTTTGTGTTGATTTGATTTGTTAATTACGGACAAATTTGTGTCTATGATGTGGCTCTGTTTGTGGTTTACCATTGGGGTTTCGGCACTATGAAGCTAAATTTTTTTTTTTACCAGCTCTATGAACCGAAGCGGGTAAAATCGGGTTTATTCCGGTTATAATTAGGTTTACTTGGTTTGTTTATCAGTTT